AATTATCCATCCATTCATTGATGCCCTCCGTCTCTCTCTGAGAGACGGAAAAAACTCTGCACAGGTGCCAGTTGATCACATGGACAACACAGAGGCAAACGATACAAACGGCCACACACACACACCCCCACGCACAACCACACACACACACACCCATACACATACCAACAAGCAATCGAGACATTTGTGAAGAACATGCAATCTCAAAAAAGAATAGCCCAAGGCCAGGATTCAAAGAAAGGACCTTCTTGCTGCAAGCTAAGAGCACTAACCTGCAACTTGCATAAGAAATATAGAATATATGTAAAAATCATAGGTAGAATTACTAAAACTGTAATGAATAATATGTTATTTTAAGCAGCTGTTTTTCTCTTTTAAATAAAATAAATTAACAAATGTATTTTTTTTTTGTTTGTTTGTTTCACATGTTGCTTTTATTACCAGGATATAATAAAAGCATGGCACTTTTATTCAAGGTTATAATATCATCAGAAACATTCAGCAGCCCAAGCTTAATATGCATCCAGTCCCCAGTGTAAAACAGAAGTTTTACATATTAACATCATCTTCACTCTGTTGTGTGCATTTTAATGCAGGGAGATGCATTGCCCTTGGTAAATACTGCATCTAATACTGTATTATGCACAATTTGATTACCAGCTAAGCTGGATCATTAAAGATTTTTCAGGGACAAGTCAAAAACCACAGGACCAAATGTATAGAAAGTAGAGGTGCTCTGCAATCCGATGTAAGCAACTTCTACTCAAAGATTGCAATACATTATAAACTCATTGAACATTATGCAGTCGTTTTGTCTGCAATGATAAACGTTCACCTCTCCATGCCAAATATTTGGAGCAGGTCCAACAGCATGGCAGTCCAATTTACTTTCCGGTTCATTCAGGTAATTATTGTTTTTAATCTTTGAAACAATTCCATTGACAAAAGTAGAAATTGCCACCGTTGAGGTTTTCTGTCAAAACATTTTTATTGACATCTATTTTAACACAACATTGATCAAACATTGATCAAACATAATGGTTGACTGCTTATAGCATCTTTCATATGTTTTAATACCCTTTTAACATTTCTACATTCTGACTCATTACAATGACCAAATGATTATGCTTAAATTATATTTCTATTTTATGTGATATCCAGACACATAATAGTGCAAACTACTGACGTTCACTTTGTTTTTGCTCCTTTTCATTTGGCAAATCATGTTTCACATTCCTTACACTGTTCCATTATGATACTTTATGTTGGTTTGTCACAAGATATTCCACAACATTTCTCAGTGATAATAAAGTGGCATAACTGAAGCACTTTAATAATTAATGTTGAACCAGCTAAATCATTGACTCAAATTGCAGATTGTGTTCTTCTGAAGAAAAAAACCCCACAACCATCAATATTAATAAAGCAACCAGGAAAAATATGTTTAGAGGATGAAAGTCATAAGAGAAATGCTAATAATTTAGTGGTCTACCTGCTTTTCTCAAGGGGAAAAATTCACTTAGTTTCTTGATAGTAATTCTCTCATTTAAAACTCATGCTTTATATGCTTGTAATGAGAAGTGATGCAAAAAAAAAAAAACAAAAAAGCACACCAGCTCTAGAGGTTTCTACCTCCTGCTCATTAAAAAAAGACAGATCAAGATTCATTTATTTAACAATTCAGAAGATTAGGTTGTCACATTAAAGAGTGACCATCCATGGTTGTCAGCTATATGTGCCTATGGTAATGCTTGTTTCGGACACAGTTTTGTTTGTCATAAGAATAAACACTTTACTCTAGGATTTTGCTGGTTTTTTATGAAGTAAATTTAGATCAATTTAAACAGAGCTTGGATGCAATCCTCCAACAAGGAAGCAAAAACTGGTGGGGCTTAATGACAAAATTCAGAGATTTATACATTTAAAAGATGATCTCTGAAGATTTTCTAATTTCCATTAATTAAATCCTAGCCTCTGGCAAAGTGCACATCAAGCAGGATTCGCAAACAAACAAGTGACGTAACTACTTACCATCAAATAGTCGAGTAACGAGGGTCAGGTCGCAACAGATTTAGGGAGCAGGAAAGCTCAAGAGGTAAGTACGTGAGGAGCTCTGAGAAGCAGCAATGCATTTGTTTTTGTTTTGTTTTTGTTTTTTTCATTTAAGCTTGCCATTATATTTCTTTCTTATGATAATAGTTTGTGTTTCTACAATGGCATTGAAAATGGGCATAGAGGATTCTGTGGGACACTGGCACGCAGCAAAGTTGTGAGCAGGAAGTGTTGCATCTATGTGTAGCTGGAACATCAAGCACACACTGTCCCTGTTTCTCCAGACCGTTGGTGTTTGTATGTGTGAGTAAAGCTGAAGGGAAGGGAACGGCAGAGCAACCTCAGCCTGACACTCATCAATGTCTGGCTGTTACATTTCTATGACATGCTCTGTCTCAGGAAGAGCAGCGACAGTGGTGCAGAGGGAGTGGGAGGAAACTGGGAGGATGTAACTTGGACAGGACCGAGAGGGAGAAAACGAAGAGGCCGATGGGAGGACTAAAGAAAACTTTCCGTCTTAAAAGTTGTTCTTGGCAAGTTTGCCAATCAGGGAATACATATCCCATTATGCACAACCAAGTACAGATCATCTTTTAATTCTTGTCCAGAGCTTTTGTTAGTCACACCTAGTAGGAAGTTATCTGAATCAACCTATGAGTTTCATATCAGTGTGAAAACTCTTGAGTGCAATTTTGAAGCCTCAAGCTTGGAAATTTGGTCATTGCCTTCTTGTTTTCAAGCCAGATACCACTATATTTACTAAGTATAAATAGTGTCTTTGACAACTTATCTATTTAATTGAGGATTTAAAAAAAGGATTAACAGAACACTAATGAGATTTACTGAATTTATTCAGCTTGAGGCATAAACGTCTTTGGCTTACCCTCTCAAAACTGGATATCCAAATTTATCATTTAATATGGCGATTTAGCCCAGGATCATAATTTTAAAATATGACTTTTTTTTTTTCAGTCAAAATGCCCTGTTTAAATTTTGTCTATTAAGGACTTCCAAAGTCAGTCAGAGAATAACTTTTTAACCCTATCTTGGGTTAGGGGTAAGGCATCAATAAATTTACGTTTTTTAAATAGAAAGCCATACCTACATTCAGACTGAATGGTTCAAATGGATTTTAGAGGATTAGTTTCACCGCAGGGGGCCTCCTAAAGTAATGTTTCCCATCTCTGGCCCTCCGGGCACAACGTCCTACAAACTTTAGAGGTCCTGGTTGAACACATCTGATTTAAGTTTAGGCCGTTTGGCAGACTTGCTTTGACCTACTTTCATAAAATGTTAAGCTTATTTTTCATTCGAGTTTTTTGCTGTTGCAATGGGAACACTGAGTTACATACTGGCAAATAGACATTTTAAAATATCACATTTTCATTCCTTATTTAAAATGTTCAAGTTTATGATGGGGACTCAGGAATATGCAGATGACATTTCACCCTTATCGATTTTTGGTACTGTTTGGTCATTTGTATGCATGTGTCTGTGTGTGTATAGTGTATATGTCTGTTTGTCTCTGTTTGACTGAGCAGAAAAATAGTAACCATGCAATTATTTTATATAAGGCTGTTTCAGGCCAATACCAATTCCTAGTTGTTCTTTGAGGACTGACGCATTAATTACTGAAATGAACAATTGTGATTTCTATTCTGGGAACTATCATGTGTAAAAGAGAGGGAATCAAGTCCATCTGTTATGGTGGGAGATGTTTGATGTATGTAAGTAATAAGACATATCACAATCAAATTTTTGAGATGATCAGTGTAAATTCTCCTTATCAAAAAATACTATATTAAGACAATCCTGTGAACAAGTATTCAGTGTCATTTAAGAGAAGTAGACAGAAAAAAAGTGAACTTTCTGTGTTTCAGAAATATTCTGGTTCTTTCTTACCACAATATTTCGTTTGAAGCTTCACTACCTTGAATTTGTTTTGATAGTCTTAACTTATGTTTGCAAATGATTTCTTTTTAGCATAAATTGTGATTAATAAAACAGATTCTTGGTCTTGTTCTTCACAAAATGAGAAAGACAAGAACATTATTAAGATGTACAGTATAAGACCGATTAAATATGAATCACAAATGTAGGATGTATGTCTGGGAATTAGATAAATTTACTGAATAGGGTACCTACTTAAATCTGAAAGCAAAAATAAACATCTCCTTTTTGTACAACACTGGTTCAGAAACTAAGTTCCCTTGAACGTAGCCCAGTATTACCAGCAAAGGAAAATTTTCATAATTTTTCTTCTTTCCTATTATTTAAATGCAGCTTGAAAAAAAAAAAAAAGAAACAGAAGATGCCCTCTGGCCTCATGCTTGGTTAATTTGCAGGATAAATGAAACAACTTGTTTTTGGTGGAAAATAAAGGGCTCTACATCAGTAGCTGTAGTCTCCTTCCAACTCTGAATTAGGACTTTTGGTTGAGTGTCCCATGGTCTTTGTGTCTTAGGGCTTGTTGAGTTTATAGTTATCTGTTGATGCAGCTTGTATGACCCAATTGACTTATTTATGTCACTGTCTTAAACACTGATCCAACAGATGCACACGGACGCGCCGAAATGCACGGACAGCAAACAAAATGCAATAATAAGATTGATGCCACTTCACAGGGTTTTATTGAACTCTAGACTCTGAACTACAGAGCTTTCTATTTCTATACCATTCTCTGCTTTTGGTTAAAAGGTATGAGGCAGAGAAGGTTCTGATCAATGCTTGAGAATATCCCCTTGAGGAGAGACACATGGAATAGTTGAAAACTGGCCTTCAAAAGGCTAGGCTATTGATTGAAAAGCTTTCCAAAGTGTTTTTCATCTCTGGTGACTACAGAAAGATAATACCGGCTGGTGTGCAGCCGGGTGCAGATGGCACCGCTGACCACCATGGAGGGGAGAGAGGAGGAGCAAATAGAGGAGGGAAAAAAGACAAATACGTACCCCTGGCAGTGTTTTCTGTTCATGGAGGGCGTTTTGGGCCTTGATGGCAGACTCACGGGCGCAGTAGGTGAGGAATGCACAACCTGAAACAAATAAATGGAACAAGACATCCAGATCAGACTAAAACAGGAGTTTAAATTGCATAAAAAGGCATAGTGATTGCTAAATATACAAAATTTTATTTAATAATGTAAACTTGTGAAAATATGTATTGCAAAATACATTGTTTCACGGTCACTCAAAATATTTGCATCCCACAAATATTCTTGGAATAAAGAAAATTTAGAATTTGTACTCTCAAGGGAAGAAGGAAATAAAAAAAAAACAAGCCAATTGTCAGGTGAGTCCAGCCTCCCTTTTCCCTTTGCTACATCCTACCCAAACCTCCTTGCAAGCCATGCCATTGTCCTCCTCATCCTGAACAGCTCTGACAGCAGAGGAAGTAAAAGAAACAAGAGAGTGGAAAAATATTCAGAGGGACAGAAATAGAAAAAGAAAGACGAAGGAGACAAGCTCAGAGATGCAGGAGAAAGGGATGGGTGGGGGTATTGCTGACAAGAGTCGAAGGCGGGTCAGAGACAGGTAAAACTTGGAGGTGAATTTCAGAGCACAACATGTCAAGTGTGCTGCCATGTTCTCACGAGCACACAGATATGAGCACATGTGAATGCAGAGTGATACGGGGCAAGTTTGACCACAGGTCTGCTGAATAGATGTGATCAGTCAAAAAAAGGGAGAAAGAATAGAAATGCCTGCAGACTGAAGAAAAGAACATCAGAAGGAAATTGTTCCACGGCTCACATTTGCAAATTAATAAAATAAAGCTCAAAACAAAAAAATATATTTAAAAAAAAATTAATTCTCAAGTTAAAACTAATTGACGTTAAAATCAAATTATTGACTGACACCAATTTTGGACAAAAAAAGGGAGATTTTTGTAAACCTCTTAAAGTTGTGATATTATTTTTGGCCCTTTGGTGGAGGAAATGACACAGGAAACATTGTATAAAACATTGATTCATGTCACATTGACAAAATCAAACTTGTGATGGACCAACACCTGGTATACTGTGTGTGTAACTTAGACTTATGTTATTGTTGTTCCACAAAGGCACAACAGTGAAATTGGCAATGAAAAGTCATTGCGTTGTCCACCAGACCACACAGAAAAACAGAAAAGCAAAGGAAAAAAAAAATAACGAATGAAGAGTGTAAACATCAATATGTCAAGTTATGTTTGCTCTGACGTCACTATTTCATTTCTTTATCCAGATGCAACAGCTGCCTGTCTATCTGGAGATGAAATCGCAATTATGCATTAATTATAATGCATAATAATTAATGCATAATTATTAGGCATTATCGTGTCTAATAATTATGCACGATAATTATTAGCTGAATTTATATGAATCTATGTGAGGTCGACCTTCTGTTGGAGCCATTTCAAGCACTCAGTATGCCGAAGTGAGTCAAGAAAGGACCATATCTGACATTTAAAAAGCACAAGCATAAAATTCAAAGCAGGGTTCATGCAGTATACTGCATCTTTACTGTCATGTTTCATCAAATCCAAAGAGCCGGCGTCGTTCTGGTTTAGGCTGAGATCACTTCATCCGTACTACTATATCGGATGTGTGGAAATACTGGAGTTAATTTAAGCTGAATTTGCTTATTGTCATGTAATATGGAGTTGTGTGATTGGGGCAAAAAGAACAAAATTGTGAATTACTTAGTACCCTTAAATCACTTCATATTTACTCAGATGCATTTATAAATGGAGGAACTGTGCATTTCCAATGTAAGGAATCCCATATCCAATCTAAACCAGTGCAGAGACTAAATGTAATTATACCACACATCTGTATGCATTTAATACACTGAATGGGAAAAGGAGAGCTGAGAAAAATAGCCACAGAGGCAAAGAAATGTGGGAGAAAGGAGACCGAGTACTGAGGCAATCATTTTTGCCCTGACTATCTGGATAAATAGATTTGCTTGTGTTCTATTAATGAGGTTCATATGGGTCAGCATGCATCATATTTCTGCCACTCTGAAGATGGTTTATTAGCGGCCCTTGCATTCTGGATCTCATTTCATCAACCAAATGTATTCAGTGGGTGGTGATGTATTAAGTGTCTTTACACGGACAATATTCCAGTCCATTTTTCTTGCCTCATACAAGATCGCTTTTATTCATCCATGAACCATATTTCCTGTGCCTTAACAGAGTGTGGCTGTGTCTCTAATGTAGTGCTGACAGGAATGCCTCAAAAAGTTTTGTGGTTATGTATGTGCTCTCCAAATTTTAATATTATGTGCTAAATATGAGGTTGTTTATTTTATGAAGTGTCAGCAGGCTGCTGGCTCTGAAAGGCAGGCAGTAATGGAGTTTTTTAAGGGTCAGGACCTTGGAGGTTGGAAACTGTGACCCTGATGCCATCATCCCAGACCTCCTGTATCCCAGCAGCCCTAACCTAATGATTTTCAATTGCCATCACCAAGTAAATCACTCAATTAACCACAGTGCTCTTCAAAGGACTGTCACTCTTCTGCATCAGCTTTCAAAAAAAAAAAAAAAAAAAAAAACAAAGCTACAACAATGCAAAAAGCCTCAGTTTTGGGCTTGTTTGTTTCTTTAATCAGCGAGGGTAAAACGGAATGGCTCTATCAGGGCTCTTGGTTTTCTTCTTTCTCGTTTGGTCTCTCTGGGCTTGTTGTTGACAAATGGTGCCCCTATCTCTGAATACGAAACAAGTACTTTGCATTACAATCAGAAAGACGATTTATTTGTTAATGTGTAATGCATAGGGCTTTGCGAATAAATTAATAACAACCACAACACTGTGAAACAAAAGAGAAACATGAACTCCATTTAAATGTGATTCTGTGCTCTTTAATGTATGGCTTAATAAGAATTTGCAGGCCACAGGCAAAAAGGCTTTAACAACTCCATAATTGGAATCCAAACACGTACAAATTGCCAGAGCTGCATTGCATACCAAATGCGGAAAGTGTGTGTGGGAGGGGGTGGAAGGGTGGGCATGATGAAATTGTTTGAAACACAACAAAAAAGCCACTGTAATCAAAGCCTGCTGACACAGCACTGGGGGAAGCCTTTCTACTGTGAGGAGATGATCCTCTGCATCATCTGACAGAAACCTAACACAGCTTTATCTCACACATTGATTTCAGCTCCGAGGAGAAGAAACTCTTTGCAATCCTTACCTCCTCTCTGCTCTCTCCACGCTTGCCTCTCATCACCTACTGCAACTCCAGGTTTGGTACAAAAGAAATCTTCCGAATCTCACCATCTCCACTCTACTTAATTGGCATGTAATTAAAAGTGTTGGCTGGGAATCTGAGCGAAGTGCTCTTCCTTCACACGTGTCGTTCCAATTGTGGCATCCGAGCTGCACCCGTCGCCACTTTGTTCCCCTCAGAAAGCCGGTTGTCACTGGCTTTTTGGATTATGACATTATATTTCAACACAGAGGATTTAAAATAGCAAAGAACGGCATCCCAGATCTATTTTCTACATACATATTGTTATTTTGTGACTTCCTATTTTTATATTTACGTGTTTTAAATTGTCCTGCTCATTGCACATTTCTTTGAATCTGAACGTGCTATTTTTAATATCAGTATGGTGGTTTTTTTGTTCCTATAATTTATAAGGTTGTCCTTACAGTACAGTTTGTATTTATTATTTTGTATTATGTTTTCCCTTGTGAGAATCTGCATGCTTCCATTTTGCCTCTCACCTTCCAGCTACTACATCTATTCTGTTCTATTCTATTTTATACTTGTAAACATTTTTTTTTACCCAGAAATTTAAACAGTGATAACTAATTTTTTGTTGGAGTATACTATGTTATTGAATTATGGGGTTAAAATGTCCTAAAATTGTATTTAATTGTATAATATTCTCAAAATAGTGTATCTGACATTATTTCCGTCCCCGTTTTGGCCAGTTAATATAAAATATATGACAAATTAAGAATCCTGACAACCCCCCCAAAAAAGCTCATTAGTATTCTCCCGGTAGTAGATACTGTATTACACATTAGTTACATGACCACTAATTAAAAGTAGCTTGAAGTATATCACAAAATGGTAAGCCTACATTTTCACCAAATCTTTATGAAATGCTCCATGTCAGGCAACACTTGGCTATACCTGGAAAAACCAGATATACCATCACCAAAATTCACCAGTACTGTCAAAATAACAATTAAGTTGTGTTGTTTTGCTTTCAATCTCTCTTTTTCTAAGTATTGGACATAAGGGAAAATAGTGACCTTTGCCTTGAACATCACTCCATGTACAATACCTAAATAAAAATAACTACAATAGTAAAATTTTAGTAAAATAAGTGTATTAAGCCAAATTCCTAAGAATACTGACTTTAGATACAAAAAACATCATTAGATGGTGTCTGTTTTGATAGAAGATGGTAAAAAGTAAAATGTGGAATTTTCAGCTTCAAATGAACTCCAATACTTGACTCTGGTTGCATAATCTACACATTTTAACATGCTTTCAAACACTTTAATGAATATTAATAACCATGATTAATTTACACAAAATAACAGCGATATTGACATTTCATTTTAATGTTACTTATCACAGAGATTAAACTAATATGCTCCAGAGTTAGCTCTTTGTGGCCATTGTGGTGATGCCCAAAAAGGAGGGTATTATTTGACATGACTTTTTTCGGCTTTATATCATCTAAAATATGCCTGGTAGGTAAAACTAATCAATAATTATTAAAATCAACTGATATAAAAAACATATTGTGATATGTTTTTCAGCCGTATCGCTCAACCCTAGATTGTACATTTTATACAACAAATAGCAGATGTAAAAATGTAAATCTTAATATAATCCATCCAGTCAAATGTGATTGTTGTCTTGTATCTATAAGCAGGTCCAAACTTTTATCAGCTACCTCCATAGTTGATGAACCTGACTCATCACCACATGGTGACTAAATTAATTGTGATCTACTGAATAGTCAAATCTGCATGTCCATTTCAGTGAATGCATATTCCTATTTTCGCTTCACCTTTGGTATCTTCAT